TTTTGGTGCAAAGGAAGGAGGCGAAAGCCTAAGGGGGTGATTTTTAATGGTTTGTACAGTAAAAAATCAATCAAAACTCAAATTTTGACTCAACTTTAACTCAATCTCACTATCTCATATATTATCAATATAATTAAATAATATCAACCAATCATTCTCACACATCACATCAACTTTAAATTACTATTCACCCACTCACATAATTTTAACTAACCATCACTTCCAATCATTTTTCTCCTACTTTACATAAAATCAACTTTAAATATTTTATTTAAATATTATTCTAATATATTCACTAACAACTAACCATACCACTTTTTTTCCAAAGCTAACTATATAGTTAAAAAACAAATCAAATAAAAACTAGTTGAATCCATAAAAATGTCAATAAAGTCATGCTGTAACCACGGTTTAACTGTCGATGATAGGTCTACTAATCTTTGATAACCACTGGGACAGTGATGAGTAGAGTCGCCAAACAGTCGATCGTAAAGTTCGCTTCTCTATAACAATAAGTCACACTAGCCTCCTAGTCTCTGTCAAGAAGGTCCCGGATGACGAGAACCAAGCTACCATGAACTCCAAGATTGTGTCTCCAACCCGGTTGGACTGCATTGTTAATTACTGAATTTAGTATTGAAGAGTGACAGTGGGACCTACCTCACTTGATTCACGCGGATTATACTTTTACCGTTCACTTGATTCAAACGACTGTGTTTTTTTACCCACAAATCTCTCCGCTGTTCAAAATTAAACAAAAACCCCCAAAATTTTCCCCAAAAAAGAAAAAAAATACCCAACTGGATCACAGCGAAGCTCACCTTCAATGGCGTCTCCGACACCGCCGATCGCGCTTTTCGTGTCGCTTCTCTTCTTAATCTCTTCTATGGTATCCGGCGACAACACGAACCACGTGTACTCTCCGTGCGGCGACGCGACGGTGCAGAGGTCCGACGGCTTCACCTTCGGGATCGCGTTCGCATCGCGGCCGGCGTTCTTCTCCGGAAACTACCAGCTGTCTCCCTGCGACCACCGGCTGTCGCTCGCCTCCGGCAACTCTCAGGTCGCCGTCTTCCGCCCTAAGGTCGACGAGATCTCGCTGCTCACCATCAACACCTCCAACTTCTTCCCGGTACTGAGATTTTTTAAATTAAGCTGTGTGTGCGCTTTTAACTGACGATTAACCGATGGAATGCCGTATTTTTAGTTGTTTGCTGATCGCTATTATAATTCCATTAAAAAAATCCTGAATTTATCTGTTCTGTTTGGTGTTGTTGGGTTAACTGGTTTGTTTTGCTATATGATTGTTCCGTTGGAGTTACTCTTTGCTCATATTGTAATTGGTGTTCGTTCCAACTTCAGTGTTAGGCAGTTCATGAGTACATAATAACTAACAGAAATTGTTTTGATTGAAAACGAGATCTGTTAAGCGTTTAGATAATATGGGGTAACATGTGTCTTCTGATTGGAACTAGTTCTGAATTTTTTTGTGATATGATATTATGTACTCAGAAATGTGGTTGAAAAATGAGATAAAGTTAATGACGAGCTTCATGTATATGTTCAGAACTTGCCAATTTAAACGGCCTTGAGTGAATGCTTATGATATATCAGGATACAAACCATGAAATTGATGGTGTATAGAACAAAGTCCCCAAGATGAAGTGATGCGTTATTAGTCTAGTCTATTCAGAACTAGATTAATAATCATGAAATAGGATGAATTTCTTGTTTCTCTTGTTGGTAGTACTTTGGTACATTAGGAAGAGCAATATGTTATGGGAACTTAGTAGTTAGTTACCCATATTTAATGTATCTCCATCACCAAGGGATTGGTGAAGTTTTATGACAGATGAAAAGTGTTCATTCATCTAGTACTTCTTTTTTGATCATGATCATATGAATTCTGTAATATGTGTCACCATTCAGTCTTGAGTTGTAAATTTTAAAATAGCCAACCTGACATCATTTTTTTTTATCCTGTAAAATGTAAAATGGTATTTACTAAATCCTTAAATGAAGAAAAGGTTGCAACTGCTTGCAACTTGCAAGTATCTTCTAGACTAATTGCGTAGATTTCAGGTTGTTTGAAAGGGTTGTAAATTGTAATGTCTGGTTGTGTACTATTTGGGATTCTTTCGCTCAGTTGCGTTTAGAAGCTTGACTTGATCTCAAGATGAAGATAATGGTTATTATCACTTTTTATTATTGTTTATGGATTAGGCAGAAAAGTTACAAAAACTGTGTAAGATCAAAAGAATCAAAACAATGTTAACCATGTGATATTCATGGTGCTGCAGAATCCCTAAAGCTAGAAATATTATGTTGCAGTTTAAGCATATGAAAAAATCATTGTCGTAACTCTTGTAAAAACCCAGTTCATAAAGAATATGGTTCTCGCAAGGTGGTATAGGATTCTTCCTTTAGTTTCACTGAGAAATTGTGGTTGACCAGCAGTGAGGGTTATTTCGCTGGTAATAAGTCGAAGAAGGTTGGAAACAGTTTTGTGGAGAAGGTGAGTTATAGGTTGGACTCCTTGTGCTCGTTGCTGATATGTTAGTGATGGCACTTAGCTGTGGAGGCAATCAAAGAGAGAATACACACAGTAGATTTTATTTTTTCCTTTTTTATTAAAGGAGACACATAATTTTTTAATCTCCTCAAGTTTTTTCACGTTATACATATTTTCTTTTTCTTTTTGTCCAGGACTCTTACGGAGGCTATATGGTGGCATTTGCTGGCCGAAGATACGCTGCCCGATCGATTCCTGCTTTTGTTGCAAACAGTACATATATAGTCACCAGTTTTACCCTGGTAAGAAATTAAGCCATTACCATGTCAATTTTCACCCGTGAAAATTAAATTAACACCCATATTGAGCTTTGATCAAATCTATTTGAATGCAGGTTCAAGAATTTAGAAAAGGGAGGCTGCAAAACTTGTTCTGGAAAAGAGACGGTTGTGCTTCTTGCTCGGGCAGGTCGAATTTCGTCTGCCTCAATAATCAAGACTGCGCCATCCGATCCAGTAACTGCAGGAGTCACGGTGGGTCCGTAGATTGCAGCCTCGGAATACAGCTGGCGTTTTCCGGCACGGACAAGCATGAGTCTGTTTTCAACTCATGGTATGAGGTTAAGAATCTCCGCCAGTATTCGCTCTACGGCCTTTATTCTAATCTCAGGGACTCACTCACCAGCCAATACAACAGATTTTTCTAACTGAAATCATCTTTCTGGTAATTCCCTGTTTTGAGTTTATCTTATCAAGTTTCACCTTGTGTTGTTTTTCTTTTTTCGCGTTTTCATGGTTGTATAAAGTTATAATGTACCACCTTCATAGCCACACTCTACTGATATTTTTACGTACGATGATCTGAAGTTGAGTTCGGTGAATTATTCACTTGTTATTTTTCCAAAAAAATATGTAAGATTCGTTTAAGAATATTCAGATGAGATTCTCTGTTACATTTTGTCATTTCGCTTTCATCCCATACTTGAATATATTATGTGAACGACACGTTTGCATAGTGGTTCGGCACATATGGATTATAGAGTAGTGATTAATTGTTGGGTCATTTACATTCTGCAGTGAATTGCCACTCTAATGTAATTTTTCACATGAAATTTCGTCTTTCGTCTTTGATCTCAATCTTCCAATGCCCATCAGGCAAACTAGCATTTCTAGCTCTCTCTCTGTACCTCCTAATGTTCCCATCCATTTCTGGAGTCAACGAACAATACTCCCTCAGCTCCTTCGGCATGTTATCATAAACGTCCCACCACTTCTCGTTAGCTGAATCACTTGCAAATTGCTGAGCCTCAATCTTATCCCAATTACAATCATAGTCTCTATAACACCACCACGGCTTCAAACCCAGGTAGTGTATTGCATGCGTATCATCAGGTATTCGTTGCGCATACTCCCGACCGGATCCGAAGAACTTGAGCCAATTCAACTTTGCCGGTAGACGGTGCCACCAAGGGAACATCTCGTTCAGAAACCCCTGATCACCACCATTATACGACTCGACCGTAAACCTTTTCCTCATTAGGGTTTCGAATGTGCATGCGGATGGTTCCACCACCATAAGCCCCGAGTTGAAAATGTGCCCATCATTCCCAGAAGCCGAGATTTGTGGGTAGACAAAGAACTTATCTATGTTTTTGGTCACGATGAAGTCGGAGTCGATGAACATGACCTTGTCGTAACCCTTTAGCTGCCAAATCCGAAGTTTGCTATAGTTCCACTCGTTGTATGCGTATTTCTTGGAATGAGGGCTCCGTATCCTTTTTATGCGTTTTATCTTCCACCCGGCTGATCGTAGGCCTTGGATGGAATGCGGTGTGATGTGCTCGTCGGCTAGTAGGACGAGGTCTTTCGTCGAGTTTGTTTGGATGATGCTTTGTGCTAGGGCTATTGCACCGCATACGTACGATTCGGAAGAATGTAGGACGGTTACGTATGCTTCTTTTGGTTGCCGGATATAGTGATTCTTGCTTCTCAACTGCTCTTCTCCTGAAAAAGGATTCGAGACTTTTAAATATTTCAGATTTATGAGGAATCATATAAAACCTCAAGTCTAGAGATGAGATTTGAAGTGTGATTTTCGTATATGGTTTTTTCGTTGGAAATCTCAACAAAATTTAAGAAGTCCTAACAACTCCGAATTTCAAATAAGTTAAATACCTCATAATTTTTTGTAAGACTTTGTTAATGAAACATCTCAAATGAATACTTCCGAGACTTTTAAAAATCTAAAAAATTCTAAATTAAATACACAAAAAAATCTGAAATCTTAAAAAGTCTTTAGAAATTTGAAACAAATATACCTCCCTTAAGAGTATTCCAAAAATTTATGGAAATTCAAATGCCAGTAAATAAGCTAACCAGATTGAGAAAATGGAGGGCTAATTTGGCAACTCCCCACAGGCATAACCACCTTCTGTTTGATCCTCTCAAGGTCAGGCTTGTAAACCCAAGTCTCTCCAACATTCCACAAAAGGTCATCACATCTGAAAATCTCCCACATGGGCCCGCCCGACCCAATAAACACAGCAAAAACCGGCCCATCCTTCCTCCCACTTCTCACCAACAAATTAGCCACCACCAAATTCACCTGCAGCCTAAAAACACTCCTCAAATCACCACTTTCCTCACTAGGAACCCTAGCAACCACCACATCCAACTCCCGATAGTCCCTGAATTCCGGCATCGGGATTCTCGGGCAACCAGAAGGCGAGCTCTCGTCGATCCAAGAGGGAAACAATTCGGACCATTTGATGTCGTCTGCACCAACCATGTCGAAATCCACCGTACCTGTTTTAACCCCTTCCGCACGAATTTCGTCCGTGTTCACGAATCCTACATTTATCGTGCGCTCCTCTCCGAATTCTCGCATTGCGAAGTTTAACCACTCCGGACGAATGCTTGTTACTAATTTACCTTGCGTGGCTCGAACTTGGAAGTCGTCGCGAATTTGTCTTAGGTAGTGGAATGTGAAAAGTGTGAGGGCAATCATGAAAAGAGTGTAAGGGATTGTGAAGGGCTTTGGTTTTGAGGGCTTGGGAGCCATTGATGTGTGTGTGTGTGTGTGTGTGTGTGTGTGTGTGTGTGTGTGTGTGTGTGTGATGGGTTTAAGTTTAATGTGGTAATGTGTAGGTAGAATTTAAGAGGAAAGACTAAGAAGAAGTGCATGGCCGCACGTTATTAGGTATATTGGTAGAGAATATTATATATTTCTAGTGTAATTTGGTGTTGCTTAATATATTTTTTCTACAATGCGGGTAGCATGTATGTTTTTAAAATTCTCTTTGTTACCAAAATCGTGTGATTAGGTCATTAGGTGTTTGATAAAAATATATAGGACGACTAATATTGTTGCAGAGATGAATATAAAAATTAGCTGCATGATAATTTTGAAAATTCTTTTTATTACCAAAATCGTGTGATTAGGTCATTAGCTGCATGAATATAAAACTATTTCAATAGCTGGATGGATCGGCTAAAGTAGCTCGTGGACTAGATCGCTTAAAAATAGCTCGATGAACTGGCTGGAGCAGCTCGTGAACCAAGTCCTTTGTCGAGACAGCACAGTGGTCTATGATAACTTGGGTTTATCGGCAACTACCTATGAGAACTCGGTTGGTTTATGATAGCTCGGGTTTATAGGCGACGACTTATGATATATAACTTGGCCAAGACGAAAGTGAAAGATTATTAATGAACTACCTCCTCTGCCTTTGAGAATGAGTCGACAATACGAGTAACAGTATAATGTAATTGAAGATAAAAAGGCCATGAAAGCAGAAATCAACCCTTTCCACGCATGTGAGAAAGAGAAGATAAGGGGGCGCTTGTTTATGGATTTTTCCAACCAAAAAATTTCATTTTGTTAACTATAGTTAAAGTTGAAAAAGTAATGTGGTTAATTGTTAGTGGAATTTAAAAAATATATTAAAATAATATTTAAAATAAAAATGATTAAAGTTGATTTGATATAAAGTATGAGATAAATGATTGGAAATGATTGGTAGTTAAAATTATGTGAGTGGATGAATAGTGAATTAAAGTTGATGTGATGTGTAAGAATGATTAGTTTTTATTATTTAATTGTATGAATAATATTAAAGATAGTGGGGTTGAGTTAAAGTTGAGTTAAATATTTGAGTTGAAAAAATTGGCTTGAAAAAATCCATAAACAAGCATGCCCTAAGTATTTGTTAGGGATTTTATCTTTATCCTCAAATACATTCATGGATATAAATACGAGAATGCAAAATGAAAGGAAAGATGAAAAATACTAGTTGTTACTCGTGCATTTGCACGGAAATTTGTATGATAAAAAATAAAATAATAAAAAATATAAACAATAGTAAAAATTATAACATAATTATTGAAAAAAAAAAAGTTTTAAGAAAGAAAATTCAAATATAATTAAACACTTCTTTATATACAATGTCCATAATTTTTCAAAACCAATCTGATTTCTTGATGTATCCCAATAAAAAAATTTAGTAAGAGAATATTTTAAATAAGCCACAACCCATTATTTTTCTTATAACTTAAGCTCAAACATTCACATCCCATTGTTTATTAACAAAGCCCAGACAAAATCAAACAAAATAAATTCTTTTTTGGGCCACAAATGGGTCAAATAAAGTTGATTTCGTTTGAATCCAAGTAGTATCAAGGCTGATGTTTTTTTTTTTATTGGACCAAATTAAACATAATCCAAATGCATGGACCCATATAGCACGGTCAAAGCTTCATCCACCACACAAATGTAGAACATTCAACAAAGTGGTAGAGAC